GTTTTAAAATGTTCTGAATGTTTTTGAATTCTCACCTGCTTTAAGGTGATCCATGGAAAGGTTGTGGAGAGAAAATCGTCAGTTCCTGTATGGGTGGTGATCCACATTATAGGACATTCGATGGACAGTATTTTGAGTACCAGGGCACTTGTCCGTACGTTTTTGTTGAGCCGTGCCATGGTACTCTACCGCAGCCGTACAATTATTTCTCAGTTAAAGCAAAGAACGAGAAAGTTTCACCAACTTCTCAGTTAGTTCCTATTTCTTATGATTTGGTTCCAGTCGATAAGCCAATATTTTGCTCACCTTTCGCTAACCTTCTAGAATTTGGATTGAAAATACTGAGTGGTATTCATTTATAAATGAGAAGTGAGGAGAATCGATTCAGCCTTATGGGATTCAGCGTATACGCCCTTGAATTTCAGTGTTTCGGTCGTCACAGAAGTGGAGGTTGAGATGTATGGCCAAAAATTGCACGTTGACTGCTCGTATACTCTGCTCTTCAATGGAATCAGAACCGGAATGAATTTCTATTATCCGAACAAGAACAATCCTAAGGTTGGATGATGCAGAAGTGGCTATGTAACTTTGAAACTTCTTCTCGCTAAAGTCACCACAGACTACCGAAATACTATTGAATCAGAAGCACAATTTTTCAGATCACAGCAACATACAGTGGAGGACAGGTGGTCATTGCGAACGATCAAAATGTTCGTGTAAGATTCCAATGTTACCGTCTGTGCGTTGAAATACCTGACGATAAACCATTGCAAGGTTCGAGTGTGCTGTGCGGATTAGCAGGAAATCGAGATTTCAATTGCAAAGACGATTTCAGAAGATTGTTAGTTTCAGTCAACGATCGAGGCGAATGTTGCTTTGATGAATGCATTCATCAATTTTCACTACTTTAAAAGCTTCAAAGTTTAACTGAAACAGTTTTCTGTCGCTGCCTAGAACATTCCGTGCTTTGATGCTCGTGATAAGAGAGCAAATGGATTTGGAACGTGAAGGAAACGAGAAGAATTTGAGCACTGGATTCCGAAAGTGATCGCTCGAAAAACGGTATTTTCAGGGATGGATACGTCTACAACGTTACATCGTGCCAAACTCGGTATAAGAAAGTTACTGAAATATTCGGTGATAGTTATATCACGAAAGATTTTCTGATAACTTCATCGAAGGAGCAACAATGCTTGACCGGAGTTGAAGTCACCAATGGCTCAATAACTTGTGTGAGCAATTGAATATCTCATTCAAAACAATTGATCTTTATTTTACGTACTCTCGTCGAATACGCTGGGTGATGAGGGATTCAGGATACAGATCAGTTAGATCATCCATACTTTAAACAATTGAACAACCACCACGATGAGGAGTACTACACTTCGGAATTTCGAAATCGTTGTTCAAGCATATGAAGCAAAAGAGAATGCATCTGAATCTTCAGGATTTGGGTGCCGGAAAAGCGAAATGTCAACCGATTTTGGATGCAGCGCACGGGAAGGGACCTTTCGCAGCATGCCAA